TGCAAGAGCAGCCAGTTAGTGCTCTTAACCACTGAGCCATTTTTCCAGCCCCACTTCCCTTTCCTTAATAAACTTCCTCTATTTCTGTTTCTAACCTGGTACAATTCTTTGCCCTGGGACATAAAATCCTTGATACTCAGTGAAAGGTCTCAGGTTTGGGGCTCAAAAGGGATGCCAAAGTGGATTGTCATTTGGGGTAAGAGATTTATTATGAGAATTATTAAAGCCGTAGAAAGACAGCATGGTGGGGGTTCTGAGGAGAGCTCAGGACCACAGGGCAGAGTGGGGTGCCTTATAGGTTTCAGAGGAAGGAGAGGTTCTATACTATGTTGTTCATAGTATGAGCTTGTGGTCAAGCTGTCTCTGATTCTTGGGCCTGACAAAAGGGGGAGGGTAGAAGGGATTGCATTTTGAAGAAATGTGTGACTTAATGATGGAGTTGGGTGGGGGACTTTTTTTCCTTTTTTTTTTTTTTTTTTTTTTGGTCTTTTTGAAATGGTCTCCCTGTAGCCCCAGCTGGCCTTGAACTCACTATGTAGACCAGGCTGGCCTTGAACTCACAGAGATCTGCCTGCCTCTGCCTCCCAAGTGCTGGAACTACAGGCGTGTGCCGCCTGCCTGTGGAGGGGGATGTTTTAACCCCTAAAAGTGTAGAGTCTGTTAGCCTAGGGCCTGTATATAGAACCAGCTATGAGGGAGGAGAGAGATGCAGATGGGCAAGGTGTAAGCAGAGCCTGGTCTGGGTTCTAACATTCAGCAGATGTCCCTGGAACACAGGTCTAGGCCTGTAACAGTATAAGGATCCTGTGGTGCCATTAGGCCCAGATTGTTTTGAGCAATCTCCCATCTCAAAGCCCTTCATTTTATCCCAGCTGTGAAATCTCATTTTCCATAGGAGGTAACATATTCAGGGGCTGGCAAGATGGCTCAGTGGGTAAAGGCCCTTGCCACTACACTTGGTCACCTGAGTTTGATGCCCAGGGCCCACATGGTAGGAGAGAACTGGCTTCCAAAGGTTGTTCTCTGATGTCCACATGCAGGCACATGTGTGTGTACACACACTGGCACACACACTAAATAAACGAATGTAAAAAAGAAATTGAAAAGGGCTTGAGAGATGGCTCAGCAGTTAAGGACACTGGCTGTTCTTTTAGAAGTTCAGCACTCACATGGTGACTGATAGCCATTTGTAACTCAGGCTGTAGGGGATCCATCGCCCTCTTCTGGCCTCCATGGACATTGCACACATATGGTGCACTTACTTACACGCAGGTAAAGCATTCATATACAAAATTAAAAAAAAATCCCAAAATTTTAAAAAGAAATTGAAGTAAAATATTCACAGATTTCTGAGGTTAGTTTTTGAGTGGCTATAACATAGCTGCCACCTCAAACCCCTGCCCTCAACAGCTGAAGGATGTGATTCTCAATCTCTCCAGTCTCTTTGACCTAGAATCATCTGGGAGACCTGGCCTTTTCACATGACTTTGGGAGATTATCCTAATTAGATTTCTTGAAGCAGGAAAACCTGTCTACTCTGGGCAACACCATTTCCTGTGTGGGGATCCTGAGGGAAATGAGCTGAGCACTAGCATCCGAGACTGTCTGCTTTGTGTGTGGATACAGAGTAGCCAGCTGTCTCAAGCTCCTGCTGCTGTGCCTTTCCCTCAATGACGACTACATCCTAGAACCATGAACTAAAATAAACCCTTCTTAATATGCTTTTGACAAGCAATTAAGATTGGAAATAAGGGACCAGCATAGACCAGAGTAGCAGGGCTTGATCACCTTGCCCTGGGTTTTATCAACTCCCTTAACCATAGCTCTCAGCTTCAAAAGGATAGTAAGATCACAAAGGGTATGCAAATTTGTGTGTGGGAGTGTATGTGTGTGTGTGTGTGTGTGTGTGTGTGTGTGTGTGTGTGGTGGGGTGGAGTGGTTGGTTGATGGTATAATAATGGAATGTAGCCCAGTGGCAGAGTGCTTACCTAGAATGTGAAATGTCCTGGGTTCTACTCCTTTTTTATCCCAAAACCAAACCAAACACCCAGCATAATGGTGCACACTTGTAATCTCAGCATCAAGGAGGCTCAGATGTAGCTCAGTTGATATAGTATTTGCCTTTCATGCCTAAGGCCCTGGGGTTCCATCCTCAGCAACCCATAAATCAGGGGTGATGGCATATACCTGCAATCCCAGCAGTTGGGAATTGGTGAAGGCAGGAGGATCAGAAGTTCAAGGTCATCCTCAGCTACATAGTGAATTTGTGGCCAGCTCAAAAAAAAAAAAAAAAAACCAAAAATTTTAAGATAAAATGAAAGGAAAAATAGAAGAGGCAACAACAAAAAAATCTTTCAAAGAGAAAGCTGAAGACCTCACATCTCGTAAGGCTTGAGATCAGGCTTCCCTAGTGTCTCTTCCTCAGGGTCCCTCATCCCTGACAATACTCTTTACATTCACATATCTCTCATTCTCCCATGCCAATCATGCCATGGCTTCACCTGGTCCTCTAAACCTTGTCCAAGTTGCTTCTAAACCCTTCAGATGAGCCCCTCTCCTCCTGTTGGCCACCCCTGGGCCAGGCCTTCTGGAGTGACCCTACTGGATCTTTCACACTTTCACATTTGTTATTCTTCCTAATGCACCCCAATTCCAAACTGGGTTATATCTCTTTCCGTTGAGCCCTGGGGGATGTTTGTGGTCAGGTCCACCCTGTTGTCTCCTGTTGCACCCTCTAATTACACATTTATTTTTATTTTATTTTATTGTGTGTGTACGTGTGTGTGTGTGTGTGTGTGTGTGTGTGTCTTGGGTGGTGGTGGGGTAGGACTGGGAAGCAGCCAAAATGAAAGAAAAGAAGCCCAAAATGTTGGGGCAGCCTAGAGCATTAGGTAAAGCATACTTAGAAAAGAGGCGTAAATAAGAAGGCAAACTTAACTGAGAGCTACATGTCTGTAGCCCTGTCTATAGGGGTGGGGAGTCCCAGCAGGAAAAGTTCACTATCTCATTAACGCACTAGGTATTCTGCCTATCTTATTAAAATTTTTATTTATTTATTTGTGAAAATATTTTATTTTTATTTTATGTGTATGAGTGTATTGCCTACATGTAGGCAATATGAGTATGTGTATGAGTATATTGCCTACATGTAGGCAATGTGTATGAGTGTATTGCCTACACCTATGTTGCACAATGCCCAAGGAGATCAGAAGAGGGTGGCGGATGCCCTGGAACTGGAGTTGAAGTTTGTTAGCCACTGTATGCATGCTGGGAACCGAAGCTGGGTGTTCCACAACTGGAGAATCACTTTGTGATTTTCTTTTTCCATGTGGGCAACACAACTTTGAGAAAGAAGGGGAGGGAGTAAAGAGATAACTATAACACTCCCTCCCCCAGTAGTGGCGCACACCTGTGATCTTAGCACCCAGGAGGCTGAGGGAAGATTGCTGAGTTTGAGGCCAGCTTGGGCTACACAGAAAGACCTTGCCTTAAAAATTCAAGAAGAAAGCAGGGTGCGGTGGCTCACACCTATTTAAAATAATTTATTTTTACATGTATGAGTGTTTTGCCTACATGTAAGTGCACCCATGTCGTGGCCTTGGAGGCCAGAAGAGGGTGTTGGGTCCCCTAGAACTGCATTATAAGTGTTTGTTAGTTGACATGTGGAGGTTGCTGGGAGCCAATCTCAGGTTCTAGGCAAGAGCAGCCAGTTCTTTTTACCTCTGAGACATCTCTCTGCCCCAGGCTGACATATAGTTAAACCCAGTACTTGGGAGTTCTAGGCCAGCCAGGGTGATATAGAGATACTGAAACCAAACCCAAACAAAACCACCACCACCAAACTCAAGAAATGCAATGGGTGTTAGCAGTGGGTGATACATAGGGGAGGAGACCCTTTTAGGAGGGGAGTAAAGGTGGACTCTCAGTGACAGGTTCTCTGGGGCCTGCAAGATCTCAGCTTCCTGCAGTGGTCGGGGCCTCTGACTCTTAAAGAAGTGCTTTTTTTTTTCTTTCTTTTTTCTCCTTTCCTGAGACAGGGTCTCAACTTCTGGAGGGCTGGGACCTCAGGTGTGTGCTATGAACCTCAGTTTATGCGGTTCTGGGAATCAAAACCAGGGCTTGTAAATGCTAGGGAAAAAACACTCTACCAAATGAGCTACATCCTCCACGCTTCTTCAATTTAGTTTCTTGTCCAAAGATAACAAGCCTTCAGAAACTCCTCTTCAACGGGTCTGGAATTATCTTTCCTTACGTTGCACTAGGCTAGGAGAGGCCTAGCTTCCTCGTGTTGCCCTGGGCCAAACAGTGGCAACAATGATCGTGTCTCATCTCCCAGCTCTCCTACCTGGCCCTTGCACCTCATCAAACCACACCTTCCATCTTTCTTCCCCCCGAATCCTGCAGTTGGCCTTTTTTTGTGCCAAGATCCTCTAGGTTGGTCTGACTTGAGTATTCGAATGCCGAGGCCTGCAAAGGGCCCAGCAGTCCCCAGAGAAAAGGGTTGCAGGCAGAAGGACAAGCCAGAGCATCACAAGAAGGGACTTAGGACCGGGAGGCGGGCATCAGTGGACCGGGTGAAACGGGAGCTAGAGAGAGCGCGCAGCAGGAGCTTCTGGGTTAAAAGATCAGAGATAAGGGCGCAGCAGAAACCAACAGCTTGGCTGGAGTCAGGCCAAGATGCCCAGCAGGCGAGCGGGGAGGAGGGCGCGGTGACTGGCAGCTTCAGAGGTGGAGGCGGGGTGCGGCAGCCCTGGATGGCGGTAGGGGTAGAGTTGAGGGCAGTGCGTCAGAGTTGGGAGCTGCGGTGGCTGGGGGAGGGGTTTGGAAGTGCAGCTCAGGGACTGGGTGAGGAGCCAGACTTCGAAGCCCAGCGTTTTGGGGCGGGGCTAGGCAGCGCGGCTCGGGGGTTTTGGGGGTGCTGGGAGAGGTAGGGGGACTGGAGGAGAGGCCGGGCTGCTCGTGTCAGAGACCGAGGACCGAGCCAATCTTCCGTGGGCAGGGCCAGAAAGCGGGGTCGAGATGTGCCGGTCAGAGTACGGGGGCGGAGCCTGGTGGCGTGTGGGCGAGGCCAGGGTGCAGGCTGAGCAGCTTGTGGGTGGGAGTCCTGGAACCAGCGGCCAGATGGGCCCAGCACACACGAAGCCCTACCCCTCGCCCCGCCCAGGCCCCGCCTCGTGGCCCCCTCGGCCCCATTTCCTCTGCTGAGGCTGAGGCCCTACCCTACCCTCTTTGCCTGGTGCCGGGAGCGCGTTTTTGCGTCTCCGGGTCCGCCGCTTCTCGCCCCTTCTGGGCCTTCCGTGCACCCAGCCTCCTGCAGTCCAGGTAAGCGGGCGCCCCTCTTCTGGGATACGCCCCCAAATCCACCCTCGAAAGCCCAGCCCCGCCTCTGGGGCCAAGGCCAGCTGGGCACGACCCCCTAGACGCGGCCACTGGATTCCCCCATCACCCCTCCTGCAAGGTGCTTCTCGGGTGTTTCCCATCTGTTCCTGGCCGGTGCCACTCCGCTGTAGAGCTCTACTCCCATGAGGGCGCAGGTGCGGGTAGAACACTACTAGAAAACACGCGGGAGGTGATTGGGCCCTTCATGGCCCGGTGACGCGGGGAATCCGTTTGTGTGAACGGGCACTGCGCCACGGGAGTGTCTGTCACCCGAGAATTCGTGCGGAGCGCCTTCTGGGTGCCACCGACGTGCCAGGACTGGAGACACAGCAGCGCCCTGCGTTGGCGCCCTCAATAGAATCCCGTCATTCTCTCTGGTGCTGGAGGTCTAGGCCATACATCAGACAACTGGAGGAAGGGGGTTGGAGTTGTCGTGAGGGAAACCAGGGTGTCTCAGGGAAAGTGCCAACCTGCTGTTGAGAGCTTTGTCAGCCTAGCCAACAAGATCATCAGGAAGGGCTCAGGTGTTTGCAGACCGGAAAAGAGGCCAACATGTCCGTGTTGAAACTACAGACGGAGGAAAAGAGTTGGGAGAGGCTGACCAGGGCTTGGAAGACAGTAAGGAGTCCAGAATTCCGCTCTCAGGGCTCTGGGTACCAAGGAACAACCATCTGATTGTGTCTTAAGAGAAAGATCCTGCAGCTGGTGTGTGAAAAGACATCTGGGAGGAGGCTGCTGGCTTGGCTGTGCTGGAAGGTGTAAGAAGTGATGTTAGATATTAGATTTATTTTTTTCAGAAGAATTGTGTTTCCTGTCTGCTTAGAAGTGGGAGGTGAGGGAAAGTGTGTGATTTCTGAGCTGGGCTTCTGAATTATAGAAGAGGTCTTATTTCTATATTTTCCAGGCTAGGATTGAATCTAGGGCCTCATTCATGTTCTGCAAGCATTACCACTGAGCTACCTACCCAGTCGCCTACTTTCTCCCTCTCTCCCTCCGTCCCTTTCTCCTTACTTTTCTTTGTGAGTGAGTGATGTATATGTGTGTATGTCTGTGATGTATGTGTGATGTATGTATGTATGTGTGTGATATATGTGTATGTGTGTGATGTGTGTGTATATGTGTGTACCTGTGGGATACTCCATGTATATGTGTGTGTGTGTAGGCCAGACATTAACTTCCACTTCCAGTGTCTTCCTCTATCACTCTTCTACCTTATTTTCTGAGACAGGATCTCACCGAAGCTGGAAGTCACTGTTTCTACTAGAGAGCTGGCCAGAGAGCCTTCACCCCCATCTACCTATTTTTGCCCCTCCCCCTACTGGAGTTACATGTGCAGACTGCCACGCCTAGCTTTTATATGGGTGCTGGGGATTGAAACTCAGGTCCTCATGCTTGCACAGCAAGCACTTTAGACTCACTGAGCCATCTCCCCAAGCCCTTATACTTTGTGTTGAGCAATATTAAGTTGCTCATGTTGGCCTTGAACTCATTCTGTAACCCAGGCAATCCTCCTGTCTCAGGCTCTGGAGTAGCTAGGATGACAGGTATGAGCCACCAGACTTGGCTCTAGAGGGGCCTTTTATTGCTGAATTAACCAGGTTTAAGAGAGGAGCCTGGAGGGAAGAGGAGGCTTTTATGATCCAGCCTGGCTTGCAAAACCTATGAGATTCCTGAGACATGGAGAAAGGACTTTCTAAGGCTGCAAGTCTGAGCCCAGGCCAGATCCTAGGCATCTGAGCACAGAAGCTAGGGTGGCCCCATCGCTGGGGTGACCTTGACATGTTGAATGGGGTGCATCCTATGGGAATCCCAGGCTATGCTGTTGCTTTGAAATTGAAGCCCCCTGGTATTTGCAGCTGGTCCTACAGCTGCTTCTAGTAAATAAAGGGTGGGTGGAGTTATGGGAGCATCTCTCCACTTGGGACCTCCCCTGCTGGCCAGGCAGGCTGCAGGGAAAACTGGGGATCCTCTTTGCCTACTTTACTGGCTTACCCATTCTCAGTGGGGGTGGGGGAGTCTTTAGGGATTGAGGAGAGAAGAGGCAATGGATATATAAGCTGGGATATTCCATTTGTCCATCTGGAAAATGGGTCAGTAGTACTTGTCCTTAAGACTCTTAGTGAGTCCACAGGTAGGAAAGTGCCTGACCAAACTCAGTGCTGTTCACACATTCCTGAGGGCCTGGGGTCCTCCATGCCTTGCTCTGAGATAAGCAAAACACTGTCCATCACCAAACGCAAGGCCATCGGCCAGTAGAGAAAAACATTTAGTTGGCCCAGTGCCTGGAAGGGAGTGAACATTTGGCATAAGAGCCTCTGGACTGACTAAAGATGGCAACAGGAGTGGGCGAAGGTCCCCTCCTCCCACCCCTGAGATGACACAGAAAATCAGACTCTGGGGGGAATTCTGCTCCCATGTGACCTGGGTGCCCTAAGTTGCCTCATTTCTGCTGTCTGGGCCTGTACTTATTTCCAACCTCATCCTTCTGGTTTGAACTCCTCAGCCCTCAGGCTAGTGGCTTTACCTCCCTACACTTCCTTTTCCCCAGTTGTAAAATGGGAATAATAGCATACATCACTTTATATAGGTAAAGAAGCTAGCACAATGTCCAGTTAGTAATGAGGCTGTTAAAATATCAAAGGAATATTGCAGAGTTCATGCCTTTTGGGGAGGGAACCAAGTGGAGTCACCTGGCTTGGCCCTGGGAGAGTCAGAAATGGCATTCTGAACTAGGTAACAGTGGCCAGGTTAATTGATACAATGGGTAGGTGTTCACTGGGTAGAGGAAGAGCATTCCAAACAGAAGGATCAGCATGTGTAAAGGCTCTGAGCATACTGCTGAGTGCTTGGAGGAATATTCTGTAGTAGCATGAAAGAACTTTGAGGTCCTTGGGGGCTTAAATTTGTTGGCCTTGCAGAAGACCTGAGTTTAGTTCCAAACACTAATATCAGGTGGCTCACAACCACCTGTAACTCCAGCTCCAAGGCATCTGATGCCCTCTCTTGGTCTTTATGGGCACTGCACCTAAATGCACATACATACATATACAGGAACACCTAATTATTTTATTTTTATTTTTATTTTTTTGGTCTTTTTGAGACAGCGTCTCCCTGTAGCCCCAGCTGGCCTGGAACTCACTATATAGACCAGGCTGGTCTCAAACTCACAAAGATCTACCTGCCTCTGCCTCCCGAGTGCTGGGATTCACCACTATACCTGGCCTACAAACATCTAATTAAAAACTATTTTATTTATTATTTTTATTTTATGTGTATAAGTGTACTGCCTACATATATGTAAATACACCCCTGTTGTGCAGTGCCCATGGAGATCAGAAGAGGGAATTGGATCCCCTGGAACTGGAGTTAGAACTGTTAGCTGCCATGTGAGTGCTGGGAACTGGACCTGGGTCGTCTGCAAGAGCAGCCAGTGTTCTTAACTGCTGAGCCATCTTTCCAGCTCCACAAACATAATTATATATAAAAAAAGAACCTTGAGGTCCAGAGGAGAGCAGGAAGGGGCTGAGGCTATTATGAGCCTTGGGAACAAACCAAGGGAGATGTGGGGTGGTGGTAAAAGTAGGAGCCAGAAGACAAGAGTGAAGGTGACTGTTCTGGTTTAGGTGATGGGACTGAACCAAATGGAAGTGTGGATGGATGAGGGTCAAACAGATCTTGGATGGACTGGAAGAGCCAGGAGTGGGGCTGGTGGCAGGGCAGCCACTGATGGGTATGGAGGGAGCAGAGGAATCAGGGTTAGATAGAAGTCAGTAATCTATTTCTGGCATCTGTAGCTTGTGATGGTGATAATCAGCTACCTGGTAGAGGAGTGGTGTGGAGCAGGCTTCTGGAGGAACAAGAGGAGAGCTTGCTGGGAGACAGGGCAGGGAGCAGGTGGTAAGCTAGGAACCAAGAATAATAGAAGGAAGGCTGAGCAGGCCAGCTAGATGGCTCAGTGGGAACCTGAAGACCTGTGTTCAGTCCTAGGACCCAGATGGTAAAAGGAGAGAAGTGACTCCTGAGAGTTGTCCTCTGACCTTGACATGTGTGCTGTATCAGGCATGCACTTGAATCTACATATACACACGCAGATGTGAAAGTGGTGTGTGTGTGTGTGTGTGTGTGTGTGTGTGTGTGTGTACTGGAGAGATGGCTCAATGGTTAAGACCATTGTTGCTCTTGTAGAGGACCTGGGTTTGGTTCCCAGCACCCACATGGTAGTTAGCAACCATCTGTAACTCCAGTTCCAAAGTATCTGATGCCGTCTTCTGGCCTGTGTAGGTATTACACACATGTAGTGCATTTACATATGTACAGGCAAAACATTGATGCAGATAAAATAAAAATAAATAAACTGAAAAATGGAAAAAAGTGTGTGTTGGGGGAGGCTGGGTCATATCTGGAGACCTGGCTCATGGTGGAGCTCTTACCTAGTAATGTGTGAAGCCCTCAGTTCCATCTCCAGCACTACAAGATGCATACATTACTTAGAATACAAATAGATAGGAAATTCTTTGCTTGGATAAATCACTGATATGAGTCTTCCTCCTGTATGCACCTGTGTTCCCTTCCTAATCCTTCTAAAGAAATTTTAGTGTTTGTGTGTGTGTGTGTGTGTGTGTTTATGTATCACATGGTGTGCATGTGAGGCTCAGAGGACAGCTTGTTAGGAGTCCATTCTCTCCTTCTACCATGTAGGTCTTGGGAATTGAACTCAGGTTATCAGGTTTTGCAGCAAGCACCTTTACCCACTGAGCCATCTTGGTGGCCCCTTCAGCACTTTCATGGGGGCTTTTCTTTGTCCCTCTTGAATAGGGCCTCTCAGACTCAGCCTGGCTCTGGTCAGAAGAGGGTACAGGAAGCCTTTCTCCTTCCTCAGTCTAGACGATATATCTTTGTTGATGAAGTCATATACACAGTAGTGTCTGGAGTTCAGCTCTGAT